CACATCCAACTATAAAAGTGACAGTTCCCAAACCATGCCACGCCATACGGATCCTGATCTACAAGGTCTAGCTCTGAAATGAGCGCAGCCAGTGGCTGGTGGAGGGGAGAGTCTAAAGGGCACTCCGGTTTCCAGTCTGCAGGAGGCCAGAGCAGCCGTTTCAAAATGCGGGCTCCCGCTCGCTGGAAACCCTGAAGTGCCTTCTTCCCATTGCTCTTCGGATAAAGACCAACATCCCTATGGTGGCAGGAAGCAGTCCTGCCTGCCTCTTAGCTCTCCTCCCCCTTCCCACTCTGACTTCCACACACACTGGTTTTCTTTCAGTCTATCAGGCTCACTATACGCTCCTCTACCCCAGGGCCTTTGCACATGCTGTTCCTTTAGCATTGCAATGTTGGCACGTAACTATTCCCGCTTCTGCGGGATCCTTCGACCCATGTCTCTCTCTCCTCGCAGCTTCCTGATTGCAGGGGCCATGTGTGATTCCAGCCATCGCCATATTCCCAAGCTTGCCTTGTGCTGGGGCTCCGGGTAAATATTTGCAGAATGAATGAATGATAACAACAGCAAAAACAGATTTCTAACCATTGGGAGAAACTAGGTGAAGGGTATAACTTCAAAATAAAGGCTTACTATTGCCATTAAGGAACCAAACTCCTTACACGATGCAGAAAAAAAGTCCGGAGGGCAAAACCCTGCAAATATCTATATTGACTATGCCTGAGTCATATGATTACAAAGTGACTTTTATTTTCTTCCTTATACTTTGCTTTCTCCTAGTTTTTAAAAAACAATAAGCATGTAACTACCTTCCATTATCAGAAAATGGAAATGATTTCAAAATAGAACACCAACAATCAAAATAATATGTCAGCCTTGCGAATGAGTATAAATCTTTAGCAGCAAGGCTACCTGTTCTTTAGGATTTATCCAGGTAAACAAACAATCCTTTCTTATTTGCTAAGTGTAAGAGGCGGGTAATTTCAAGGCTGATTTTTTCTTTTTTTTTAGATTCCCAAGCTTTATTTAGTGGAATGACTTCTAGTGTAACAAATAACACAAATGATACATTGATTGTTGAACTATTAGTCAGTGTGGCCTGCAGCTGATCAAGCGTGACTCTTAGGCTAATCAGAGAGCCCCGGTGCAGGCGTCAGAGGGGCACTTTCCATCTCGTGGTATCTTACGAAACTGAAAGATACTGACACGCCTGTAGGTTTCATTTCTTCCAAACAGACCTGTGTCCCCATATCCCTTCTTAAAGCGAATCTCCTCTCCCAAATCGATTTAAGCTTTGGGAGGAGGGTTTGTCGAAGAGAAGATATAAAAACCCATTAAAAGTCTATTCACGAAGCATCTGGCAATTCATGTTTCATCTGTTCTCTAGGGAGCCAGTGTAAGCTCGTGCTCCTGGAAACACAGCTGATTCCTTCATAAATCAGTGTGACTGTGGCTGATGGTGGGGACTTACTTTTTAAACTAAGGCCAAGGAGCAGTAAGCAGTCAATTATTTTCATGCAATAAATGTGACTCGATTTCCATCTATATAATAATTTCCCTCTTCAGTTCCCTTTTCCAGACAGTTTGTTAATATCAGTGGGTCCCCATCTCAACCCTGTGTACCCCGGAGAATTCTCAGTCTCCATTGGATGAGACCATAATAATGATCATGTTCTCCTCTACTTAGCACTCTGTGCCGTGCACTTTATATGCATTTTCTCGTTTAATCCCCACAACAACCGTGTGAGGTAAGTTGTTCACAGACAGGGAAAATGAGCTCAGAGTGATTAAGTAATTTTCTTGAAGTCACACAACCAGAAAATGGCCCAAAGACATTCAAATCCAGGTCTATCTCCAAAGCCTGTGCTTTTAAAAATTACTATAGTTTTCTAATATCATGATCAGGTTCAAAACAGAGATCCTTGCCTCTGCCTTGGCCATACAGGAAGTAAAACAACCTAAAATCTCTCTCTCATTATGATACAGAAGAAATTGCAATTCTTTTTCTTTGTTTTTCCCACTTTGTGCACTGAACGGTTTTTTTCTGTGTCCTTGTAGGGAGACCACATTACGGATGAGAGTCTCAAGTGGAGGTATATTGAGTTATTCTTAAATCTGTAGAGTTTATGACAAACACTCTCAGAAAACTAGAAATAGAGGGAGAACTTTCTCAAGTCGATAAAGAACATCTACAAAAACCCCATAGTTAACATCATATTTAACGGTAAAGGACGGAATGCTTCCTCCCCAAATCAGAAACAAAGCAAATATGAAGATTTATACTGCATCTGCCACTCTTATTCAACAGAGAACTGGAAGTCCTAGTCGAGACAATATTGCAAGAAAAGGAAATGAAAGGCGAACAGATCAAAAAGAGAAAAATAAAACTGTTCTTATTTGCAGATGACATGGTTATTTACATATAATATCCCAAGAAATCTATAAAAAAACCTTCTAGAAAATTCAGTTACAGTTGCAAGATAGCACATAAGCACACAAAAAATCAACTGTATTTCTGTTGAGTATCCATCACTTTGATAAGCACATAAAAATCTAAATTAAAAAATCAATTGCATTTCTGTATACTGGCAATGAACAGGTGGGCACTGAACTTAAAAGTATAATACTATTTACCACAGCTAACAAAGAAAGAAAAATACTCGAGTGTAAATCTAACAAAACATGTGTAGGACTTGTATGCTTACAGCTACAAAACACTCATGAAGGAAATCAAAGAAGACCTAAATCAGTGGAGGAACATACCATGTTCACAGATTAGAAAACAACATAGTAAAACATCAATTCTTCCCATATCGATCTATGGGTTTAAATACAATTTCTATCAAAATACCAGCAAGACATTTTGTAGATATAGACAGATTTATTCTAAAACTTATACGGAAAGGCAAAGGAACTAGATAGGTAAAACAACTTTGAAAAAGAAGAATAAAAGGGGAGGAATCACTGTATCTGATTTAAGACACACATAGCTATAGCAGCCAAGACCGCGTCATATTGGTGGAGGGACAGACGCATAGATCAATGGAATATAACAGAGAACTCAAAAACAGCCCCCACACAAATATAGCCAAATGATTTTTGGCAAAATGCAAAAGCAATTCAATGAAGAAAGGACGGTCTTTTCAAGAAATGTTGCTGGAGCAACTGGCTATCTGTAGGCAAAAAAAAAAATGAACCTTGACCTAAACCTCACATTATATACAAAAATTAACTCATAATGGTTCATAGATTTAAATATAAAACATAAAACTATAGAACTTTTAGAAGAAAACACGGGAGAAAATCTTCAGGATCAAGGACTTGGTGAACTGTTCACAGACACGAGACCAAATAAAACAGAACAAAAACCTCAGTCTGGAAAGGTCACACTGCTGAGCACAGTGGCTCACGCCTGTCATCCCAGCACTTTGGGAGGCCAAGGCAGGAGGATCGCTTGAGTCCAGGAGACCAGCTTGAGCAACATAGTGAGACTCTGTCTACGAAAAACAGAAAAATTAGACAAGTGTTGTGGTGTACACCTGTAGTCCCAGAATTTGGGAGACTGGGGCAAGAGGGTCACTTGAGCCCAGGAGTTTGAGGTTGCAGTGAGCTATGATGACACCACTGCATTCTAGCCTGGTCAACAGAACAAGATCTTGTCTCAAAAAAAACAACAAAAAAAGTCACACGTTGTATAATTTCATTTATATAACATTCTTAAAATGATGTAATTACAGAGCTAGAGAATAGGTTAGTGGTTGCCAAGGGTGGGGGATGTGGGGGGAAGAGGTATCGTGGCTATAAAGGGGTATCTCAGGGGAGATCTTTGATGATGGAATAGTTGTGTGTATCAATTGCTCAGCATGAATCTGCATATGGGATAAGATGACATAGAATTATACACACTGTACCAATGTCGGTTTCCTGGTTTTGATATTGTTATAGTCACATAATATGTAACCACTGGGGGAAACTGGGTGACGGGTATAATTTCCAAATAAAGAGTTTAAAAAGTCTGGGCCGGGCGCAGTGGCTCACGCCTGTAATCCTAGCACTCTGGGAGGCCGAGGCGGGCGGATTGTTTGAGCTCAGGAGGTCGAAACCAGCCTGAGCAAGAGCGAGACCCCGTCTCTACTAAAAATAGAAAGAAATTAATCGGACAACTAAAAATATATAGAAAAAATTAGCCGGGCATGGTGGCGCATGCCTGTAGTCCCAGCTACTCGGGAGGCTGAGGCAGAAGGATTGCTTGAGCCCAGGAGTTTGAGGTTGCTGTGAGCTAGGCTGACGCCACGGCACTCACTCTAGCCCAGGCAAAAGAGTGAGACTCTGTTTCAAAAAAAAAAAAAGTCTATTGTCTGAAAGAGACCTGCTTTTCACAGTTATAAAGAAACTCCACCGCATTTCTCTTTCCATTTCAATATTTTAACCCCCTTCGAAATGTAAAAAGGCTCAAAGCCACTGTTTTTCTTCTTCCTCTCTTTCTTCCAACTTCCTTGGCTGTCAATGAGCTGAGGCTTTGGACCCAACCACAGCTAATTCAGAGAATGAAATGAAATGAAAGAAGCCTGAGGCTAAGCCCAGGGCATAGCCTGATTTACTGCTTGGAGCTCTGTGGGCTCCTAGAACTCCAGGGGTCCTACAACAGTCCCAAGGGGCTTTGCAAGCGAGAGAGGCCTAGCCCAGAGTAGGTGCAGGCTCAAGCGCCAGCCCTGTGCTCACCTCCCAAACCGCCCCACCAGGCTGCTGGGGAGGGGACGACAGTGGGACATCCCAGATGTGTTCCTCAAAGGACAGAGGGCACATCACATTCCATACTGTGCTCAGCTTCGCTACTTAGACCAGGGAAACACGGTATATTGAGCAACTGGTTATTGGTAGCACATCGAGGAAAGATACGGCTGTTGTGTTTTAAGAGAGATTGGAGCCCACGTAACACTAAGGACTGCTGGAGGGTAAGGGCTGGAGACGGGTGGGGAACAGGTGGAAAGAACTCTTACCTGCAAAACAAGATCTGAATCTTCATGCCTCCCAATTGTAGTGCTTTTATTTAGGACAAAAAAGCCGTCTGCGCTCTTTAGATAGGCTTTCATCCTCTCTGTTTTCCCTACATAAGGTTTTCAGAAAGAATTTTGTTAGAAAAATACAGTCCTCTAATTATTCAATAACGTCATACTTAGAATCAATGAAATACCCCAGAGTTATGTCCAAGGGGAGAAGTCAGCGGAGGTAGGAGCGGATAGATGACTTAACAACGATCACAGTGGCAATTCTGCATGTTTTAAGGCTATCTGTTCTGACAGTGATATCTAGCTAGAAGAGCTTGGTTCCAATAATCAAACAGAGGTCATTTCTTAAGCAACTCCGGGCACGAACTAAAGCTAAAATAGCCACAGCAAATCTGAATCCCACTGATACTTGCTCTCCACCTCCCATTAAGCTGAGTATGAGGTTAGTTATCTGACATATCAAGTGTTCAACTTCCTAACCCACAGCTTACTAGCTCTGTGACCTTGGATGAGTTACTTACTCTCTTTGTGCCTCAGTTTCCTCATCTGTAAAATGGGTTTTGTGAGTATTAAGTATAATGATACATGTGAAGGGTCTAGAATGGTGTCTGGCACACACCGAACACTCATTTATACAACTTCTAATACTGTTGTCAACCTTGGCTTCTCAACGGATCCAAGGAAACCTGGGCTTCTATAGAGCTTCCTAAAGAGGCAGGCGTTGAAGAAGCAGGCACTAGAGGACACTTTCTTTTTAAATCACTGCAGTTCTTCATATATTTAGTTAGAAAAAAAGGATGATTTCTAAAGGCAAAGTACCAAGATTATAGCTTGGCCATGTGATCGGGACCCTGCACATATTTTCCGCCAACCTTTTACTATGAAAATGTCAAACATACAGAAAAGTTTAAAGAAGTGGATGGTGAACACCTGTATACCCACCACGTAGATTCTACAATTGGCTTTTGCTACATTTGCTTTCTCACGTATCTACCCACCTATCCATTCACCCACCCAGTTATATTTTGATGCATTTCAAAACAAGTTCTATACATGCTTTTAAAAACCAACACTTCAGTGACTTCAGAAAATTCTACAATGTTGACAATAACTCATCTTGATGCTTGAATTCGAATTCTAATTTCAGATGTCCAAGTACACAGCATGACAGCCTCCATCCCAATGCCATGTCAAAGAACAATAGTCCTTCTCTTTTCTTTTCAGCTGAAAAGCCACTGAAATGCACAGGTGTTGGACCATGGATAAAAACAAAAATCATCTAGTTGTGACAGTGTGACAGTATAGACTCTCAGGGCTGGTTCTGCTTCTCATCATCATCTCTGTCATCATTTATTGAGTCCCTAATAAGTACCAGGCACTTATCCTCGAATACATGATGACTCTTCATCATCAGAACAACCCTCCTGTAAGGCAGGTATCATTACTGTCCCCACTTTACAGATGAGGAAACTGAGACTCAGAGGGGTGAAGGTCACCCAGCAGTAATGGCAGGGAGGGGACTGTGAGCCTTTGCACGTCACTAGCTCATGTACAATCCTCAGGCAGCTCAACTTTTCACATCTCCACCGCTGCTGGGTGGGGCGGGGGTGGGTGGGAGAAGAGGCTGCACTGTTTGCTTGCACTTGGGACATGCAATGACAGAAAGTCCTTGAAACCAGGATTCTAGTGTCTGAAAGGAAGAAAAGGCCCTACCTGAGGGCATGAGAAATAACATAAGCCAGATAGTTTGTTCGTAAACGCTGAAGCCTACGGGAAACCCCTTCCCTCCCACAAATATTGACACTTTCATACCATGAGAAATAAATTTTATTGTTAAGTTCACTGTCATTAATAGAGGGGAAAAGACATTTCCTTTTCCAAAAGAACCTTGCCCTGCTGCCATTAAATTGCCTGAGTTATTAATCTTCAATTGCAGAGGACAACATTATCAAGCACCACATTCAAGCCTAATTAATCTAAAATGAACTTGCGAGAAATGTCTCTTCTGTGAAAAAACCACAGCAAATGCCACCAGAGTAAATTCCAAAACTCGAATGATTTGCTCATTTGCTTTTTAGCTCTTCCCCCAGATGTTCCCACGGCTGGTGCCTTCTCTCTGCTCAGGTGTCCCCTTGCGGTAAGCACCTGGCCCTCCTGGCATCTTCCAGTCACTTCACTGTCTAGCTGGCATGTATCACGGCTGTGGTTCCCTCCTTGGACTCACCATTCTCTGCCATTTTCTTGTTCCTTTATTTAGTGATGTGTTTGCTGTTTGTTTCCCTTTCACTATGATATCTGTTCCAAGAGAGCCAGGATTGTGTTATTTTTGCTAAGCGACAACGCTCCATGGGTGTCTTATGTTTGTACCCATCTTCAGAGCAAAGATAGAGGTTTTTTTTCCTGACAATCTTTCCAAGGATATTTGGAGGGCAAACATCCTGTGAGGATAGCCTAGTGTCCCCCTCCAGGGCAGAGGGCAGATTTGTTTATGATGAAGGTGTCTCCTTCCAGAGCAAATGTTGGGCAGGTTTGCTAACGGTCCCTTTAAAAGATTGGGGTTTCCTGAGCTTGCGGATTCTTAGCTGGGACACAGACTCGCTGTGTGCACAGCTTCCACCTGGGCTGTTCTGCATCACCTGAGGGGCTCGCAGGGCAACAGGAAGCACTGCAAACGTGCAGCTCGTGCTGCCCGATGTGTGTGAGTAACAAAGTCCTTTGTCTCTGGCCTCAGAGTCTCCAGTCTTCTCCCAGAATCCCTTAAGCAGGGGATGGCTAACTTGTTACCAGCTTGCAAATAGGGCGAAATCTCAGACCCTTGGCAGTTCCCGATAGTTCTGTTCATGACTCCATCTCTAGCTCCCAGCCTGACAGGTAGTAGGTGCTCAGTAAATCCTTGCTGAATGAATGAAAATATAAAACGATGCCTTGCAGCCTAGGAATCTTTGATGATTACTTTTCATTTTTCCCTTCAGTATTTATTCCAGGGGACATTTCGAAAAACTTAAAGTCTATTATTTCTTTAGCTATTGTTCCACCTTAATCTTGCCCTGTGCAGTCACTTGCCTGGCTGAAAACACCGTCGAAAACGATGTGAATGTGCTAAACTCTGTAAATTAGTTCTTAACGCCACAGAGCACCCACCACAGGAAAGAACGAAAGAGCTTCCATTATCTGCCCGCACCCCTGACCACAGAAGGCTGAGAACCGAGCTACCAAAGCAAAATTTCTATTGAAGGCTACAAGGTCTTAGGTGTCCTGGGAGCTGTAGAAGTTCCCCAAGGTTGTATGTGAGAGCGGAGAGGTCAGGAAAGGAGGCCTCTCGGACCAGTGGGTGGGTGTCCTCTGCAAGTCAGGGGCTGCAGAGGCGCCCTCCTGATGCCAGCTGTAGCCCACAGGGCATCCGAGAGAGGCCAGGCTGGTGCCCAGGAGGGGCCTAAGGCTCGGGCGGGTCGCCCCGAGGCTGGGACGGGGCTGCACTCAGGGAGGAAGGGTTGGTGTCGGGCACTCCCCCGGGGTGTTCCTGGGGACCGGAGCTCGGATCGGAGAGGAGGGGCCGAGGAAGCACCCTCCTCGGCGCATAGCCCTGGACCCGGTCGAGTGCGGCCCGCGGTCTCGGCCGCGCCCCTTCCCGCGCCACACTCACCTGGCGGGAGGACGAAGCCCTCGCTCCGCCGTCGGCCGAGAGCCCCGCCCGCTCGGCAGGCGCCGGGCTAGGTCTGGGCGAGGCAGCCCGGCCGCGCTCCCGCCGAGTCTCCAGCCCGCGGCCCGCACCCCGCGCGCGCGCCCGGCGTGTGTACGCGCGTCGCCATGGCAACGCCGCGCCCGCCCCGTGGGTGAGGGGCGTGGCCTGCGCGGCGGCGGGCGGAGGGCGGCGCGGGCGGCACCCATACCGGCCATCGTTTGTCCCGCGCCGCTGGGACTCGCCGGCCGGGCGCCGCAACTGGGGAAACCGAGGCTCAGCGGTCGCGGGAGCGGCCCAGGGTTCACGACGAGGACGGAGCAGAGCGGGGATTCGACTCGGGAATCCTCTCTGTTGCCCCTCGCTCCGAGCAGGTGCGGCGAGGGAGGCGGGGCGGGTAGGGGTGAGGTGGACGGAGCTGGACTCGGGAAGCTTGGAGGTTGGTCCCCCTGCCCCACCCACATCTCTGGTCCTTTCTGCTGACAGACCAGAAAGTGGAGTAAGCGGAGGGGACCGCCACCGCTGGGCGCGGGCATGGGCACTGGAAGAGGGATGGAGTGGAGCGAACAATTTTGAAAGAATGAGGATTTCTTCCATGTGCTGGGGGAAGGACATTGCCAAGCCCACCACCCTACTGCCTCTGCCCTTCCCTGTTAAAACTGACGTGTGTTCATTCTTTTGTTCTATCTTTATCTCTGCAAACATCCCAAGGCCCTGTAAGTGACAGTTCTGGGGCCCCAGAATCGACCTGGATCTGTCACTGTCCTTAAGAAGCCCCCTGCCCAAATCAGTATAATAAAGGGATACCTGCAACCCCCTGTTTATTGCAGCGCTATTCACAAAAGCTAAGATACGGAGTCAGCCTCGGCGTCCATCAGCAGAGGAATGGGTAAGGAAAATGTGGTACACAACAGAATACTATTCAGCCCTGAAAAAGAATGAAATCCTGTCATTCCCAGCAACATGGTGGAGCCTGGAGGACATCATGTTAAGCAAAGTAAGTTGGGCACAGAAAGAGAAATACTGCATGTTCTCACTCATATGTGGGAGCTAAATTCAGCTCCTGGAAGGAGAGAGTGGACTTGCAGGTATTAAAGGCTGGGAACGGGGATGGGAGGGGAGGACGGAGAGAGGTTGGTTAAAGGACACAAAATTACAGACAGATTGGAGGAATGAGTTCTGGTGTTCTGCAGCACAGTAGGGTGAATATGGTTAAATATAATTTATTGTATATTTTCAAAAAGCTGGAAGAGAGGATTTTAAATATTCACAACACAAAGAAATGGTAAATGTTTGAGGTAATGGGTGCGCCAATCACTCTGATTTGATCATTGCATAATTGTATACATGTATCCCGTAAATATGTGCAATTATTACCCGTCAACCAAAAATAAGAGGAAGAAAA